CTTTTTAAAATCATCAACTCTCATCAAGAATTCCTTGATTCTTTCTTTCTTTCTATGCCAACCCTTTTACAAACAAAATTCCTCATACATTAGCACTAGACACACCTAGCCAAGTTCGAAGTTGCCTTCGCCCTAGACGTGAAAGGTTTGATAATTCTGAGGGTTTGGTCCCAAATCTTTATTTCAATTATTTAATTTAATTGTTTGATTTATATTTTCCTTGAAGTTACTAACGTTTGTATTTTGTTATTTGAAAGAGATACGAGGCATCCAAGTAAGTACTTTAATTATTTTATTGATATTATGATATAGAAATCATGTTTAGGTTGTTATTTTGATTCCTAGTATCATGTTAGGATGTTTTATTGCTTCCTAGTATCATGTTTAGGGTAAAGAATATAATGTCAATTATGATTTTTATGATGCTTCCTGTTTTCTTTCCTAATATCATATTAGTATCATGTTAGGGCTAAAGCTTTGATTTTTGTTGATTAGTGACATGCAAGGGTTTGTTATTATCCTTGTTAGTATCATGCCTAGGATCTTGCTATTATTATGCTTTAACATGATTATTATTATTATTATGATGATTATTATTATGTTGCTTGATATTTATTGTTGTTGCTTGATCACGCCTTTTATGCATGTTTAAAGGGAATTTGTACTTGTAATCACGCTTAATAAGATAATTAACAATCTTGTTTAAGGTTAATGTGATTATAATTCAAGTGACCGCCAATAATAGTTTTATTTGTGCATTAATATTCAACCAACATAGATAAACAGGTTTAAGGTAAAGTAGAGGCCTATTAGTAGGGCAGGTTCTTTCTCTTTTAGATTGAATTTGTACCTTCATCCCCGAACTTCCAGTTTTGGTTCCAGACCTGTTGGAGTTGACGATCTCATGGATTGTTAAGGGGTATAACCTTCACCATGTGAACGGTTTACAAGTTCCTAAAACTTATTGGCGACTCTTTTGCTCTATCTTCCTTCCCTTTGGACACCACCATGCTTAAGTGTATGATCACAGTGGGGTTCAAGTTTGGGGTAATGCTTGAAATATTCCCTACACTGCTGAAGGAGCTGGGCATTGAAATCATTGCTAGCTTGATCAAACTTGGTCTTCCAAGTATCATAGTTAACACTCGGCTGAGCCGCTTGCCAAGCCATCCGCATGATGGCTTCATTGTCTTCCATCATCTGCTTGACAAGGGCCTCCTTCTACTTCTCGTTGCGAGCCTTGTACTTGTCTTGGAGCTGCCTCTCCTGGTTGGCAAAGCGCTCCTCCAGGTGGCCCACAAGCTGCTTAGCCCTCTCAGCATCCTGCTTGGCCTCATCCAAGGTCTCAAGTTTCTCCTTAAGGCTCTTGATTTCAGCATTAAGCTCATTGATCCTTGTCCGAGCCGCCTCCAAGTTCCGCTTTACCTGCAGGTTGGCATCCGCCTGGGAATACATCATATCAAGTGTCAATAACTCATTCAGAGCAATTTCAAATTGAGCTCTGTCTAAAGCGGAGGCGGCCCAGGCATTAGTAGTCGTTACCTCTTTTGACTTCTCTAGATTGGCTTTTTAAGCCCTTGGACGCACAGCATGACCTGCATTCAGTCAAAAGGGTGAATGGTTAGCATTAGGCGTGTATAAGTATGACTTGCAATAAAAAAATTTAAGTTCTTGCCTCGTAGAGGATCCCGAAGATGTCGTCCAAGTTGAGGGTGCCGACCCCTCGGACAGACGCCTTGTCCTCAGGGTCAAGCGCCCACAACATCTCTTTGACCATTTGAAGAACTATCGGCCTTTGAGCAGGAGCTGCAAAGATCAATATAACATACGTTAAGAGCAGGCCAAATGGTCTACATCTATGGAAAAAAACATTAAGGGGAAGTAGCCTTACCCTCCGGCTGCTCCTCATCCCCCGTGACAAGCTTCTTCCCGTCTCCAGCTGAACCGGTAGCAGATTTGGGTGGCTTGCTACTCTTCAATACCCTTTGGGCATCCGGCTTGCTGATCTCCCTATCAGCTCCGAGATGGGAGTTGTCACCTCCCTTCTTTGGCTTGTGGGCAACGTGCTTTCTATTCTTGCTAAAAGCGCCCACATCTCCAACCTTAAGTTTTTGCACCTTAGGGTCGAATGGTTTGGAGGGAGAAGGCTTGGTGGAACCACCCTGCACAAATAAAGAATAGTGAGAAACCATGCAAAATGAGATAAAACCTTGTTTAAAAAAGACAAGTGTTATAAGCTTTTACCTTGGGGGTTCCGCCTGTTTTTTGTTCTTCGTTCGTCCGTTTGAGAACGTTCAAACGGTACATAGCTGCAGAGGCTGCAACCGGCTTCTTGGAGGCTGAGAGCTTCTCCATAGCTTTGTCTGCACAAAGAAACAAGTGTTAGAAATCTGCAAGCATTTATTGAAAATAGCTAAAGCATTAAAGATATCAAGCGGCTGACTACCTCTCGGCATCTCTGTACTCAGGTAGCAGGCGGCCAAGTACACCCCGTTCAAGAGCCACTTGTAACAAGGAATGTAACTCTGGGGATGACTTCCTTCCCCCCCCCCCTCTGCTTATTTGTCCGGACGGACAACTTGAACAGACCCTTATTGAAAATCTCCTCCTAGGCTCGCCTAGGGAGAGGCGGCAGGGCTTTCTTTCCAGCCAGGAGGGGGGATCCTTATTCCACCTATTATATTTTTGGTTTAGCAGGCGGTTAGAGGAGTGGAAAATATAAAACTTTGTCCTCTAGTCCTTCCATTTGGACTCCTTGCCAATTGCCATCATGTACCCCTTGTAGGTGGTCAAGGTGTACCAGCCTCCGCCGCCTACTTTCGGCACTCGGTTTAGATAGTGCATGTGGGAGAACGCCTCAAAGCTGGGATCCACCTCCAGCATTTCACATGCGGCAACGTACCCGATTAAATTTTCCAAAAGTTCGGGACTAGTTGCCAGATACCCAGTTGGTATCCATCAAGAATTCTCTCCACTGCCGGATGGAGAGGGAAGCCTAGACCCGCCTGAATGGTTGCCTCATAGCAACCAAAACTCTCATCATGGTAGTTAGCCATTCAGGGCCAGGTGACCGTATCTACAAGATCCGGCACGGAGAAAAGGAAGCCATGTCCCATGAAATGCTTAGATATAAACTTGGGAAGGTTAGCCTTCATTGTGTCCCGCTTGCCCTCGGGAACATGTTGATAATAGGGAGCACGCTCCCGGCGATGAGTAGCATGCGGCTTGGCCCAGCCCTCGCCTTTTTCCACTGACAAGGACTCCCTTGTTGTGGTTATCTTAGCTCGTGCCTCCTCCGAGTCAACGGAGGCACTAACAGAAGATGATGAGGCCGAGTCGTCATTAGAGCTCTCGCCAGAGCTGAGGGACTGCCGATTGGTGCCAGTAGGGTCCTCCCTCAGTCTCTCCTCCGGTGCTTGTCTAGAAGGCCCAGGTTCCGATTTGATTCTAAGCCTCCCACAATATTGTGTCGTTGGGAATGTCGTTGGAGGTTGGGGAATTGTAATAAGAAGAAGTTGGAGGGGGTCAGAAGAAGGGCTTGGAGGATGATCTCGAAGCTGACTGACATGCGCCCTAATGGAGCCGTCTGAATATATAGTGGACCCGTCCGGATGGTAGAAAGAACCATCCAAATTATATTGTCTTGTCGTTCTCTTGGTTCTGGCCATGGTGTCCTGCATAGACACAGAAACGGTCGGATTAGGGGAAGTTCGTAAAGAAGGGCCCATGAAAAAGCATTCGACACCACTAGTTCTAGACTCAGCCGTCCACGGTGACCAGCTGATAACTACCCTAGGCTGTGTCGTGTGCGTTTGGGAAACCATTTTCAAAAACAAAGCAAGAAAAAAGTATAAAAAAAAATAAAGAGAAAAAAGCAGGCGGTTACCTTTAAAAAGTAATAGGAGACGGCTGTAAAAGCTTTGACGTCTGTTTACAGACGGACTGGTTGGCGGCTGTTGGATGCTTGCAAGGAACTAGTCAAGAGTTCAAATGTCAAAAATTCAAAGATTCTCCCAAAGATTCACACAAGTGTGAATCCAAGGGGAGTCAACCCTTCTATTTATAGAGGGGGTAAATGATCTAAGGTAAAAACCCTAAATTTAGGTGAACAGTAAAAGTAATTTCTTGGCCAATCAGAGGCCGACACCTGTCACAGGCGCCACATGGCATGCCACGTGACACATGTGAGGAGCAAATGATTTGGGGTATTTGACATCCCCAAGTGGACCAATGAGAAAGCGACACGTGTCGCTCTGGGAGGCGTCCAAATGGACGCCTCAAGATGCGTGACACGTGTCACTCATATATCCCTCCTTTGAAATGGAGCCTTCAAGGCCCAAACTTCAAGGGCGCCGCAAATCGGCGCTGCCCTAATCCCTAGGTCATCAAACCCTAGGGTAGGGCACACTTCCCAAGGTCCTTATAAATCGGGGCATTCCCCCCATTTATTGGGGGACGTTCCAATCATTACTGAGTTGTCACTCTCAACAAACAGACAACACCTAAGCTTGGAATCCGAGTAGATAACTTTTCTGCACGTTTTACTCCGAATCCATACTATCTTAATCTTCGGAGGCGAACCACCGACCATTCGATGCTTCGTTTGTTTTGCAGGTATAGGCGTCCTTACTAAATCCAGTCTTGAGCTGTAACTCTCCCGAGGGACACAAAAAACCCCGAAATAATACCTATACATAAAATCAAGTTACTTTATTCTACCAGTACACATGATCTTTTCACCCAAGATAAGTATCAAACCACATGAAGATTCTAAGAACTACAACTAATTAACCAGAAAGTAATTTCATGCTGGATACTGGACAATTAAAAATGGATATGGCTTCAATATAGGCAATATTGGAGAGTGACTTCTATGATTGCTATTAACTTATTTTCAAATTTCATGTTTCCAAATCCCAAAAACCCAGTTACACAAAACTACAAAAAGGTTTTTTTTTGGAGAGAAAATGAAAAGAGCTAATAGCTTTCATTTTTATTTAAAGGATAGCCAACTAAAAGGATACAAACACACCTTTAATATTGGTACTTAATAACCCCACCATTCACATGCTGCTATGTAAATAAAATAAATTTAGTAAGGGAATATTTTATAAAGTATAGATTGAAAATAACTAGCAAGGCTTGCATCCATTGGTGGTTGATGCCGATAATTTTTGTAGGGATTGGTTGTTTGAATGGGTATCCTCCCAAGGATCTTGTGATAGGATTGCCTGGTTAACCAAAAGTTTGATTCAGACAGTTTGCTGGCTACATTAATTTGGATGATAAGACTGATGGGAGCTTATTTTACTACTTTGTTGAAGCTGGGAAGGATCATGACCATAAGCCACTCACTCTTTGGCTCAGTGGAGGTTAGCTTCTTGCTTTTCTATCTGCTTCATATCTTGATGTTCCATTGTACATTTTTTTTTTCTTTGTATTTGAATGTATTCTTCTAACTCTGTGGCTACAAGCACCATTGACTGATCTACATTCATCATTATTGATTATGTATTGATATTCCACTAAGATACCCTGATATTTCCATGTCGGCTGGAGTATCCACAAGGCCTTTAAAATTTCATACCTTAAATGAGTGACCAAATAATCGGCTTGATTACAGCTTTTAATAGGAAATTCCTATTTTGTTTTGATCTTCTGTTTTTTGCATTTTATCAGATGTGCTCCATACCTTTGTTTGTTGAGACTAATAAGAACACTATAGAAAATTGCTGACTATTATTATTATTATTATAATTTCTGGTAGGTTTGGGTTTATTTTTGGCGGCTAGGTGAATAATTGTTCTTGTTTAATTTTAAATTTTAATTGTTGTTCTTTAATTTTCAATTTTAATTAATTTGTTGTGGAAACTAATTGTACTAATGTGATTGTTCAATTTCAATTCAAATTAAAACCTTGTAAAATTTATATGAAATAAATTTATATTTTTTTAAAATTTTAGGAGTCTGAAATAAATTTGCATGATTAATGGGAGAATAGGGGGAGTAATAATAAATTTGTATTTAATAAATGAGAAAATTCCATGTTTTGAGCTTTCTGAAACTGTTTTGCCTCAGGTTATGCAACTAAGATTTGCCATTGAAAGTATTATTCGTGAACAACCGCGATGAAATCAACCCCAAGCTCTTTTTAGCAGCTATTGAGCTACTCACTTCTGCAACAACTCACCAGGTTTGTTGCGTTTCAATACTTTTCAATGAGAAACTGTAACGATTCCAGAGTATCTTATTGTTGATTTTATATGAATGAATTGAGTTGTGCTTAAAAAAATTGAATTTGATGCTAGCGTAAACTATTGTTGACTCTGTATGAATTTTCTAGCTATGTCTACATCTGCTTCCACTCTCTTATTCTCATATATTGATTTATAGTATTATTTTTTGCCACTAGGCAGGCATAAATGCATTATATGCCAGCATTTACAATGTGACCAAATGAATGAACAAAAATCTTAATAATTGTTGAAATGTATAATATTAAGCAGCAACACAAGATACAACATACATCTAAGTATCTAACTGCTGTGGTCTTCTTCTTTTATTGAAATTATTACTCAATTTTTATAGTTTTTTTTATTTTATGGAAATTTGTTGTAGTCTGCATTTCCGTTTAGTTCAATTCAATTGAACTGTTGTTTTGATTTTGCTTGAACATATCCTTGATTTGTTGGTTGATCTTGAATGTATTAATATTTATTATGCATTAACTCTTCATATGCTTAGAGATCCGTTCAAGATAGAAGTCCCTTAGGCAATTTTGAAGCCTTTTTGGCTCTAAATGCTCCCAAAATGAGTAAAGGTCATATTTCATTGATTTCAATTCATAGAAACCAAATATAAGTTAATTATGGATGTTATGAGCTTTATTTCTATAAATTGGACCAATACATGAAAAATGGGAAAAATAGAAGTCCCTTGGGCAATTTTAAAGACTTTTTGGCTCTAAATGCTCCCAAAAGTGAGTAAAAGGTCATATTTCATTGAATTCAATTCATAGAAACCAAATATAAGTTAATTATGGATGTTATGACTTTTATTTATGTAAATTGGATCAATACATGAAAAGTGGGGAAAATACAAGTCCCTTAGGCAATTTTGAAGCCTTTTTGGCTCTAAATGCTCTCAAATGTGAGTAAAAGGTCATATTTCATTGATTTCAATTCATAGAAACAAAAATATAAGTCAATTATGGATGTTATGAGTTTTATTTCTATAATTTGGACCAACACATGAAAGATGAAAAAGATAGAAATCCATTAGGCAATTTTGAAGCCTTTTTTTCGCTCTAAATGCTCTCAAAAGTGAGTAAAAGGTCATATTTCATTGATTTCAATTCATGGAAACCAAAATATAAGTTAATTATGGATGTTATGAGTTTATTTCTATAATTTGGACTAACACATGAAAGATGGGAAAGATAGAAGTCTCTTAGGCAATGTTGAAATGACTAGAGTCAACACATGAAAGATGAGAAAGATAGAGTTGTAACCTCATTCATTTGTTTTTTTTTTTAAGGATTTTTGTCCATGAAAAACCCCTTATGATGTTAGTGAGTTGAATGTGGTTCGAGAACAATGGGCGTAATACTTTTGATCTAGATATTTATTGAATGCATAACTATTAGGTGGAATAATGTAATATTATTAGAGTTGTTGTATGTGTTGGATAAACTTATACAAGTTTTTATTTGTAATGTATTATTTATATTATTATGTCCTATTAATTTTTACAAATGTTTTGTTTAGTATAATTGTTTATTTACAGGTATATATGTGGAGGAATAGGTTTATTATCACATGTTATAATTATATTAATTATAAATATAAATAAATGCAGCCGAAATTTAATAAAAAAAATTATTTACTGACTATTTGTAACGGGCAACAAATATGCTTGTTACAAATAAGTACTTATTCGTAACAGGCATTAGTGTTGCCCGTTACTAATAAGTACAAATTAAAATACAATAAGTCGTTATTTGTGACTGGCAAAAAAGTGTCCGTTACAAATAATAGGCTATTCGTAACGGGCACCTGAAAAGCCCGTTACAAATTACCCAATATTCGTAACGGGCATCGTAATTGCCCGTTACAAATAACAAAGGCCATCCGTAATGGCCGCATACGTAATGAACGCTGCCCGTTAGGCAATTTTTGCCCGTTATATATGGATGGGCTTTTTACCACTAGCATGTTTAGTTTCTATAGGAATATGATGTGATTTAAATACTTTTAATATTATTTTATATTATGCTTGTGAGACTAACGCAAAGGTTTTAAGTATTGTTTTGGTTAAATAAGGACCTACAATGGTTCAAAGTTGTAGGTTGACTTTGTTCAACTTTGATTTTACTTTACTTTCATTTGGTTTGACTTTTAAGTTGACTTGTTTTGAATGGTTTTAAAGGTAGTTTTCCGCTGCATGTTTTGATAATTGCCTTAGCTGTTTTCACGGTGCGTGGTAATGTCTTAGATTTTCCAATTTCGTATTTTAAAAAAGGGCAAAACTTGTATTTTAAAGGAAAGGAATTTCTAGAGTGTTACAAAGTGGTATATGAGAGGTTTGGTTGAGAATTTTATTACCAATAAAGTCAAAAAGGTGTTTTAAATTGTTTTGTTTTAAACTAGGCTAAGTTCTTTGATGAGTGACATTTATGTCACTCTTAGGGAGTAGTTTTAGAGTTAATTCCGTGTTTATTTTCCCTTATTTTCCCTTTTATTCTCTTGTTTTCTTTTTAATAAAGTTTCTAGTTTATTTCTTAGTTTTAGTATGTTTTAATTTAATTTCTTTATTTAATTGTTTCTAGTTTATTTTTGTATTTTATTTGCTTTCGATTTATTTTATTTCTTTCCTTTTCTTTGTTACTTTCATAGTTTTAATTAGCTTTATGTTTATTTTGTTATTTTATTTTATTTTATTTGCTTGTATAGTTTTATTTAATTTTGCTAGTTTTAGTTTATTCCTCTTATTTTCTATTTTATTTTATTTATTTCCATTTTATTTATTTTATTTTATTTATCCTAATTCCTTCCTTCAGTTTTGTGTGTAGGGGTTCGGGTTTTATGTCAAGTGAATTCGGGTCCCAATTTGAGTCAAACGCCAAATGCACAAGCTTCCAAGCAACAACCCCTGCTGCCAGCTTATCATACACCACACCTTCACTATCCTACACCACCCCAAACAACACACACCAACATCACAACACTTACCCTGCTCACGCAAACCACCAGCTAATTCCCCTGCTCCAATTCACCTTCAGCCACCCAAACAAAACCATAGCAACCACGCACCCGAACCACCATCACCCACCAATTCCACTAACCCTTACAAACACCACCCGCATCTTCGTGCAACCACCATCCCACACTAATCAGCCACCTGCCGCTCACCCTTCGCCAATTCCCAACCTTTCCCCTAACTCACTCAACTCAGCGCACCCCCAAAACCACCGTACCACACACAGTAGCCCACCAAAGCCAATCAACAACCCTTGTACCACAGTCCACCAAAACCCACACCAATTAACCACCTGCACCACCGCTGCTTCCTTCCCCCGCACCTCACCAAACCACGACTCTAACCACCGCTGCAGCCACTCAATTTTAGCCACCCAAACCGCACCTCTTCCCTGCAATTCCCGGCCACCGCAAACCCAAATCAACCCCATCAATTCGCACAAGCGTCAGCCTAAATCAAAGCAAATTCAATTAATAAATTTCAGGTAAACCGCATAAGAGTTCGATCGAAATGCCAAGAAGTGCCAATACAGTCAGAAACTTTTGAAGTTTTGTAAATTAAAGAGGTGTGGTCTAACACACCCATGGTTTGACCGAACCAACCCCGTAGTTCGGCCACACCAACCCATGGTTCGACCGAACCATTTCACGAGCTATGCACGTGATAATTATTGAGATCAAACAATTGAAGCTTGGTGATTGTCGTTGATCTTCGATTCGTGATGATGATGTGCGTTGATGATGGTGTGATGCAGTGGTGATGAAGAATGGAGCAGCCAAAATCGAATAGAAGAAGAATAGGAAGGTTGATGTGGTTTGGGGGATTTTGGGTTTTTTTTTCCTTTTTCTTTTATTTTTATTTCTTTTCCTTTTCATTTTATTATTTCTTTTCTCTTTTATTTTCTTTTATTTTCCTTTTCTTTCTTTCTTTTCTTTTATTTTATTAAGTTAGTATAAACACACATTTTCGGGGGTAATTAGAATTAACAAGGAACAATATATTCAATTAACAATTAATCTATTCTCTAATTAGTTTTAGGAGAGGTTCTCTCTCTAGGTTTAGGTTAGGATTAGAGTAGTTTAGAGAGAGAAAGTGAGGGTTTCACCATTGTTGAGTTTGGATTTTGAAGAAGAAGATTGATCATCTTGTTTGTAGACTTTCATCTTCAATCAATGAGAATCTCTAACTCTCTCTCCTCTATTTAATTTGCTTTCTTTTGATTATTATTTTTGTTGTTGGTATTGCTTATTAATCATGTTTATTCTTGATTATTTGTTAATTAATCTTTTTATTAGCATGATTAGTGAGTAATTCCCCCATTAAGGGGATGGTTGTGGTGTAGTTGGATCTTGAGCATGTTCTAGGGTTTAGAATTTATTTATTTGTGATTAAAGTCTTTATATGCTTGATATTCTTTAATCTTCTTGCAAGTGCACATTGTTGGTTGATTAAAGGTGAATCTTTGCCAACAAGGAACGGAAGTTGACTTAGTTAAGGTTCATTACTATCAATTGTTCTTTGATTGCACCTCCCAATATATGGTTCTAGTGTGGAAACATAGAGGCTATGTTAGGAGAAGCCAATTGACCTCGGAAGATGGCTAGTTTGGATCTTTTACTTTGATATTCGAGCATGTTTAGTTCATAATTAATTCAATTTCTATGCCTTTGTTTATGTTCAAGTTAATGCTATACCTAAACCATTTCTCTTAGTGTTTTATTTCTTGTTTTAGCATCTTTAGACTTTAGTTTATTTATCTCCTATTCCGGACTATCTTAATTGTCAATAACATTTGGTGGTGTTTATTCGTTCCCTGTGGTTCGACCCCTATGCTTGCCTTATACTCGTATTAGGTTTGTTTAGGTTGTATAAATAGTATTTGATCTGGGGATAGACAATTGACGACGAGTTTATTCCCTTGTCAAATTGGCGCCATTGCCGGGGAACGGCTTCCATTACTGTTGTGTTTTCTTATTGAGACTAGTCCACTGTATATAATTTTCATTCTATTTGTTGGTTTTTATTTGTGTTGCTTTATTTGAAAAAATGGCTTCTATTTCTATTCCTCAATTTGATAATGAACCGTTTTGGGTGTATTTCAATAGACTTGAGGATTTCCTAGATGGTGTTAAAGGTTTTACCAAGGGTGATTATTGTGAAATCATTAATTTGGGATTAAATGAGCATTTTAGAGGAGTAGTTGACAATATGTTAAATGGTAGATTTCAAGACATGTCTTCGGATGAAGCTTGGGATTTCTATTATAACACCACCAAATCTCCCTCTATGGAAATACCAGTATAATACGTATAATTATATTGTAGAGATAGACTGGGTGTATTACCGCCGCGTGATTACGCAAGGCTACTTAAAATACTTAACTCAACAACAAAACTTGCAGCGGAAACTCAACTTTCTTTTATTAATACTTACAAAAAAATAGTTATATTGTTATGAGTGCTCAAAAATAAAGACAAGACCAACATTCCTAAACTAGGTGAAGCAAATCCCTGGACTCCCATATGCTCATTCATGACTCCACCTGAAAATAGTCAACACTGCTTACCATTACGGTAAACAGGGCGAACCAAAACAAATAAGAAATACGGATTAGTAAAATATGCTAAGTACGGTGAGTGCAAGATAGTGTAAACTCAATTTATTTGCAAACATGCTTTTAAAACCAATTCCAATAATTAATCCAATAAATTCAAAACTCATTATTCCAAAACTGATTCCAATGATTCAATATTCAAAATAATAGTTAATAAAACCAATTCCTTTATTAAGAACCAATTTCTTTTAATCCAATTCCTCACCTAAGTGTGCACACCCCCCAAGCTAGTCTCCTTATATTATAAGGCTATTCTTGAGAAAAGACCCGGTCATACAAAGTCCAAGGCCTTATCAATAAACCAAATACGCATAGTGGGATTACTAACATGCTTATAAAGCATTAATAATAATAATTCAACGGTTCAATAAATCCTTTTAATATCCAATAGTTCCTAATATTATTTAAACACGATAAGTAATCCAAACCATTCAAAACATGATTTAAAAATCAATCATTCAAATACTTTTATTAAAATAAATATCTTCGAACATAATTTATTTCAAAATCAATTTAATTCAATCACTAATCAAATCATGTAAACATGTTATTCAAACCAATTACTTTCAAAGGTATCTAGCCACCTAAACATACCTTGATCATTGCTAGAAAAACCACACAAAAAGAACCTCAAGAACCTTGATTGAACACACCCTACAAATAAATATAACCTTAATCAACATAAGGTTAACAAGTAATCACAAATAATTAAATAATAACCTCCCAACTATATGTACATGAACCTTTCAACATAAACATTATTAAAAATCTAATTTTATATAATTAAAACTACTCATAATAATTATTTATAAATCCCCCATAATAATAATAATAATAATAATAATAATAATAATAATAATAATAGTTGAATAAGAGAAGAGAATAAGAAAAGATAAGAAACCAAGGAAAAGAGAAGAATTGGATTTGCGTTGGAAAGAATAGGCAGAACTTACAGAGGCTATAACTCCTTTGATATAACTCTGAGTCGGGTGATTCTTGAGCCTAACCTCAAGGATTTTTGAGAGGAACAATATTATGTGAAACGTTAATACCCCAAAATTGACCAGAAGTGACCGAAAATTGGTTTCAAAGATAAACGGGGTGATTTGTGTAAAAAGAGGAGAAGAAAAGTAGAGAATTGGTGTGAATAAGTGGGAAGAATTAAAAGTCTATTTATAGTATTGAGGGTGTAGAAAGGATAGAGCTTAAGTTGGGATTAGATTAGAATAAGAACATGATAAGTTTAAGTTTGTTAAATGAATTTGAGTAACATTTGGTCTATATTAGTAGGTTGGTTAAAAGATAAGAAAAATTAAATGGATACACATATGGTTGGGAGAAGGAAGATAGGAACAAAATGAGATAGAGAATTAGAGGTTAAGTTAAATAATTATTAACAAACTAAGGTGATAAAATCACTCTTAAAAACATGATAAGCTCACGCTCACAAAAATTTCTATTTTTTTAATAAAAACGAAAATCATAATAAAATAATTGAATAAATAAATATTTTAGATAATATCAAAATTAGTTAAATACATAATGTATATTAGATATTTCCTTGAAATAGTTAGTATAATAAAGTATGGACCACCCTTAAAAAAGATAATTAAACCTATATTATTAATTTAGAAATCCGAAAATAATTAATTATTCATATGATTAAATACTTATATTTGGTGCCAAAATTCAAATATAATTTTGGCTCCAAATAATGAATTTATTAAAATACCCTTTTTATAAAATAATTCTTAATTAATCAATTAGAAAATACGTATGAAAATACGGGGTATTACATCTATTCATGGTTAGCTAGGGATAATTATGATTGGGAGAGGGCCAATCATGAGACTTATGTTCGGGATTCTCATGCTTTTAATGTTGATGCTAATTGTCATGATTTGTCTAATATGAATTCCCATGATGTGCTTGATGCTTCCCATAGTGACAATGTAATGCATAATTTCAACTCCCCTTCCTCTATAGCTCAATGTAATGAGGTACATTCTAATGATGATGAAGTGCATGTTCTTTCTCATATTGCATCCGATTTTTGCATGAATTCTAAAGGTGTGCCCCATAGTCCCCTAGATGATTCCAATGAGCAAGCTTTTGACTCGTCTATCCATGATGATTTGGACTCATTCGAGATTATGGCCCAAATATTTCTTGAGTTTTAAACGGTAGCCCATAACCTTATAAGTGAGTTCATTGATAAGGCTTCATTAGAAAGAGATGAGTTTGAGAGAAATTTGCTCCCATTCACTCTTGATTTTGAGATGGTAGGCCTTGAGAAATTTAAGGGAGATGTTGTTCAAGGTTGTGAAGAGGAGGTTGAGGTTGAATCACTTGGAGTTTTTGAGCTTGAGGGAGATGTATAACGTGAGGGTTCTTCATTTGAGGATTCCATGATTGATTTTCATTCCCTCATTAGTGATGTGAGATCTTGTGATGAGGGATTAACTACCCCTTTTTCCCTTTCTCATACAGCTTTCTCCCAAAGGTTTAACCATATCTCCTACTATCCTATGTTCCTCCCTTCTTTTCTCAAAGAACCTCTTAGGGATCCGTTTCCTATTCATGCTTCCGAAGCCCTCAACTCTTTCATTGTTGATGAGGAAAAGAGTTATAATGCCAACCAAAAAGATTTTTGAGAGGAGAGTTTGCCTCCCTATTTTTCTTTTTATTCTTCTACCTTTTCTTCTTATTTTCTTGATTTTTCTTTTGATTCTTTTACTTTTTCTTTTCTCCCTTCTCTCAAAAGTCTCCTTGTACTTTATGTTTGTTTGTCATATGAGCATCGCGTATGCTCTATTTCTTGATATGTTTGCCGATGCATATGACAAGCTTTTGCGTTCTTTGTCGGGTTATTTACTAGATTGGTCATGCTTGGACGTTAAGCAAGCCTTTCTCGGGAAGTAACCCGTGTTTTATTGCTTTCATTTTCTTTTCTTTTTAGATTAGATTTTCTCTCATGGACGTGTTTGTGTTCCTTTCTAGTTACACAACTCGATATACTCTTGTGCATTGGTGATGATCAAGAATCAAGGAAATGTGCCTCAACTTACCTATCATGTGGAGTTCAAGCCTTATTTGTAGAGGTTGTGGATCCTATGAAGTTATTTCAGGTTTTTGTGTGATTGTGCACTTTCCCAATATCCGGTAATATCCTTCTTTTCCCTCTCTCTTACTCATTGTGACTTGAAGATCATGTGTTTGTAATGTTGGATTAATTTCTCCTTGTTTTCCCCTCTTTGGTTTCATTGTTCATGGTTGAGTTTGGTGCCTCATTCAAGCTTGGGGGAGGGTATTCTATCATGTTTGGTGGGATGTTGATTCATATATGTCATGCACTTGAGTATATGCATTTCCATGTTTTTCATGCTTTTGAAAAATACAAAAAGATTTTCGTTTTAATCAAGGCAATTAGGTGTTGTGTCTTTGTTTTAACTTGGATTGGACATTATATCTTGTGGATTTATT